TGGATTTCTAATTGTTGTTTTTGTATAATTTCTAGTTGTGAATTTATTTTGGCATTTTGTTCCTGCATTATTTTCCTGAATTCTTCCATTTTTTTGGTCTGTATTTTCCATGGTTTGTCTATTTTTTCCTCATTTTTGTCACATTTTGCTTCAACTCTTGGATAATTCTGAGTATTAGAGATTTGAATTCCCTCTCAGGTAGTTCTAGTGCCTTTTCTTCCACTGGAGAGTCATCTGGTGTTTTATTTTGGATGCCTACTGGAACCATTCTGTCCTGTTTTTGTAAATGTTTTGATATTGTCTGCTGTCTTTGGGACATTCAATAGTTAATTTTCTCATTAATTGATTGCAGATTTGTTTGTTTCATCCTTTTTTTTTTTAATTTGGCTATCTCTGAGCAGACGGGCTGTGTATTCTTTCTTGTTTGCTCATCTATGGGCACGATACTTTTTACCTCCTTCTTCAATTGGCAGGGTCTGTTGCTCAGATATGGTACAGCAGGGCAGGTCTAGCTGAAGAGAAGTTGCTGGGATGGGTTGTTTGTAGCACTTACTACAGCCACCAGGGCAGGTCGGTAATCAGTGCAGGGCAGGTTACAGTAGGCTGCGCCTGTGCTGGTTGGTGGTGTGATGTCAAGCGCATGGTGCAGGTAGGCAGGACATATGGGGGAGATTGTGATGTGTGGCGCTAAGATGGGTATGGGAGAGAGGAGAGAGGAGCAGAAGCCAAAACCATACAAACAAACAAAAAAGAGTGCTAGAGGAGCTTGCTGTTGGAGTGGAGAGATGAGAGACTAAGAAATGGAGAAAAACAAAAAAGGGAAGAAGAAGAAAGAAAAGAAAAGAAAAAAATGAATAAATAAAAATTAGAAACAGAAAAGAAAAGCTCCCAGGGATCCCACCGGTGCAGCTTCTAGGTCTGGGGAAGTTGTTCCCAGGTGTTGAAGCCTGGCTAGAAGGCATAGAGGTGTTCAGCGCCAGGTATTCAGGGGACAGGAGGAGAAGGAAGGTATAGAGAGACAAGAAACTGAGTAATGAGGAAAGACAAAAACGGAAAAGAGGGAAAAGAAAACAAAATAAATTAAAAAAGAAAGAATAAGAACCCCCCCCCGAAAAAAAAAAATGCTCTCAGGGATCCCTCTGTGCGTCTGCACAAGCTGAGGGGGTAGGTCCCAAGCTGCACAGCACTGCCCAGCCAGAACGGGCTCCCAACTCGAGAAGAGAAAAAGACACCAAACAAACAATTCAAAACAAACAAACAAACAAAAGCCCTGGGATCCCACCAGCATGGGAGCGTGGACTGGAAAGCAGTTCCACACTGGAGCGGAGCTCCACAGCCCCTCAAGAAGAAGCAAAGATGGCACACGGAGCCAGGTATTTGAGCGAAAGGAGGGGGAGGTTGTGACAGGTCAGGAAGAAATCAAAAGAAGTGGAAAAAAGCAACACCAGCAGCCAACAAATGGCACTCAGGGAGTCAGCCAGTACGGGCGGGTGGAATCCAAGCAGCTGTTGCTTCCCGTCCAAGAGACTGTGGCCGCGGGAAGCAGAGGAGGCTGAGTGGGGGTGAAGAAGTGTGGGGGGTGGGAAAGCATGTATCTCTGTTTACCGGTTGTTCTGTCTCTTGCTGGAAGCTCCGTGAAGCTGCTTTCTCATACCTCCTGTTCACTGGTCTCCAGTAGGAGTCCAAGATGGTGGATCCGTGCTGTGTTAGCTGATAGGGGACCTCTGCATGTATGTCTCCTCGCTCTCTGTTCTCTGTCAGTTTCTTAGTCCATTTGGTGCTTGACTGAGTTCTTTATCTCCGCATTTGATGTTTAGGATTTCAGGATTGCTGTTTTCTCTTTTTGGCTTAGTTTTTCTGATCTTTGCTGTGGAGGGTTGGCATGGTGCTTCTGCCTAGAGCGCCATGTTGCCAGAAGTCCAAACCACTCTCTCTTATTGTGATTAATTTCTACCAAACTAGTTTTTCATATGAATTTCATTGAGAATTCTTAATAATAACAATACAGCTGTTATTAGTATCTGCCTTGCCAGTTCTAGTAATGCCTTACGAGGAAAATAGAATTCTAAACATAAAGTCATAGTTCAATGGTTGTTCGATATCTGACCAAAACAACCGTACATATTTTTTTCCCAAACTGCATCTTATAGCAGGACTGAACCAGTGGACTTTCTCCTGGCTTACAGAGAAACCATTCCAATTCATTTATTCCAAACAAAATTTTGTACTTTTGCATAGCACAGATATATATGTCTATGTAGAGGAACAGTGATATTTCCTCTTTCTGTATATTATTCCGAATTATGATCATTCTTTTTGACTAGAACCATGTTATAGGAGCTATAGTATTAAATATCAGAAGTAGAAACTTTCTGGCCAAATCTCTTTGCTTCTTTTTGCTGTACCATGACTATTAACAGGAACCCTCAGCTCCATTGTCTTAAATCTCTTATACGTAAGCCTGTAAATCTCCTTCTTTAAATTCTACCTATTAATTTTTAAAGGAAAAATATAAATGCACAAAAAAGTTGCTCCATTAATTGTATTATGGGTATTTAAAATTCCATTAAATTGTCTGTTCCCATTTACCTTCACCCATGCAGAGTCCCAGTGCACAGTACTTCATTGTCCACCCAAGCAAAGTCAGTGAGTAATTTAAGTCATCAAGAAAAGTCCCTAGGGACAGATCTCAAAGGAACCATAACTTTACGATTGCAGGAAAAAAATGTAGAGCTGCTGCTATAGTTGGGAAAGTAAGCTTTACACATATTCATTCTTTATACTTACAACTGAGTTGGCAAAAGGAACCAAAGTGCCCAAAGTAAACAAGCCCAGAAGCGGTCCACCAACCATGCCAAATATACTGAGTGCTGCCTACAAAAATAATAAAAAGTCAGAGATTAGTAATCTCATATCCAAGGTTAAACTGTTTCAAAGTAATTTCACCAAAATGAGGATTGAAAATATTCATGCTTCTCCTGAAATCATAGTTTTATTCATGGAAGACTTGTCATTGACAAAGAGGTAATTAGAAATTGCAGACTTCTGCTTCTCAGTCTCAAGCATCCCTTTCTTCCTTGAAGTACTCCCCAAAAAGGCGGCAAAATGTAAAAAAGGTAGAGAATCACAATACAGTGAGAGCACCTATTGAATGATCTACATGAATGCATAAGTCAAGAATGAAACCACTCCTCTCAGCCTTGTCCTTGTAGACATTAATAATCAATCACAGCACTCCTTTGTATTTTGGTAGTCTCAAATTCTCCTCAAAACAAGACTGCAGATAAGTACCGCTTAATGACCAGAGATAGCGATGAAACCCAGCTGCCATATCTGGTTTGATTTCCCAAGAATGGAACTAGAATGAAAAATATGATTTCTAAAAAAGATTGACTTATTAGTGAAAGACTGAATGCATTCCCCCTAAAATCAGGAACAAAGCATATAATCACTTAAAAAATGAAATACTAAGATGTAAATATAACAAAATATGTACCGGACTTACAAGTATGCTGAAAATTATACAATGCTGATGAAAGAAATCAGACATGTAAATAAATACAGAGACATATATGTTCATGGATTTGAAGACTTGTTCAATGCAGTAAAAAATGTCAATTCTTCCCAAATTCATATGCAGGTTTAATGCAATCCAATCAAAATTCAAGTAAGATTTTTTGTAGATGCAGACAGATTATTCTAAACTTTATATGGAAAGGCATATACATAACAACATGGATGAATCTCCAGAGAATTATGCTGAGTGAAAAAAGGCAATTCCAAAGGTTACACACTATATAATTCTGTTTATATAACATTTTTAATAACATTCTTGACATGACAAAATTATAGAAATGGAGATTAGTGGTTGCCAGGAGTTAAGGAGGGGATAAATGTGGACAGGAAGTAGACGTGGCTATAAAAAGGCAATATAAGGAATCTTTGTGTTGATGTAAATGTTCTGTATCTTGATTGTATCAATGTCCATATCCTGGTCATGATATTGTACCATAGGTTTTCGAGATGTTACCATTGAAGGAAACTGCATAAAGGGTATACAGGATCTCCCTGTATTATGTCTTACAAGTGCATGTGAATCTGCAAAAATCTCAAAATAAAAAGTTTAATTTAAAAAGGTAAAGAAAGAAAAAGAATTTAGTCATCTCTGTCCTGTAATATGTTTGTGTATAGATACCTACAGAGGGAAGTCTGGAAGGATGGTCACATGAACATAAAAAAAATATAGATTGTGACTCAAACCATCAGCTCTTACCTGTAACAAAGCTCCCATTAGTGATGCCAGGGCAGCCATTCCTATGCACAGGGCTCCATACAGCACACCTAAGATGACAATGTAAATGCCAGTGTAAGATCCAGGCCCAGAGAATTAGAATTCTCAGTAGAGTAAGCTATCATGCCATTGCTTCAAAGTAAATAATATGACTGTGGTGAAGAATGGCTACATGCATTGGAGTCCTAAAAGGTGGGGGGGATGTTTCCTACAGGATCAGCAGTGTGCAAAGGGGACAAATAAAACCCTTATATTATGCCTCAGGATCAGTTACATTAGGTTGTATAAGTAAAGAATCCCTAGAATTAACTATAGGGATTTAAAAAGTAGGAACTATTGTGTCTTTAATCCTCTATAAACATTTGTCTATAAAGGAAGGCCCTGGTTTCTGTTTCCAGTCTACAGAAAATAAGACACAATTCAGCTCTGTCTGTACAACAAGGCGGAAGGGAAGGCGGGCAGTGATGAGCGTCAGAAATTAGACTCTTGTCACTTAAAGCGTTCATTTCTCCTGGAAGAATGGATGGTTTGGAAACTTTAGTCCCCTCTTGTTCTCCGTCAGCAACCCCAAAGCCTCTCCTATTAAACTAACAAAGGCAGCTTCAAGACAATCATTGTAGTCTCCCTTCTACCAGATTGCTTCCTCCAAATCTCTTCTTTGTAGAAATTCTAAAGTCACCATTGGTATTTAGATTGTGGGATTTTTTTTTTTCCTCTTTTGACTTTCAGTATTTTTCAGATTTTCTCCAGGATCCATGTATTACTTTTTAAATTATAGGAAAAATTACCCAAAATAAATTTTATTCTTAAAGAATAGCAAACATACAGAAAAAAAGAGAAATTTGCTCATCATAAAATTAGTGCATTCTTTGTATTGTTGTTCCTATTTTACTTATTCTAGTACTCATACAGATCTAAAGTTATTAAGTATATTGGCTAAATAATCCTAATGCACCCAATGGAAAACCTTATATTTTGCAAAGAGCTCTTATGCTCTTATGGTAATATATGCTCAATGGTAATTTAAATAGTATTTCTATTGGTAATATAATAGTATTTTCAACATATTTAGCTTGATTCTTCTCCATTTGGTAGATCATTGAAAGATGACCATCATGTTTTTTGATATTCAAAGTTATTGAAACACTCAAATCATCTGCCATGTTCTTCTGTATGATGTCGTCACTGCACGTAACTTAAGATAGTTTTATACAACCCTTCTACCTAACTGAAAATCTCATCTTTACTAGCAGAGTTGATTTGTTATTAATCATCATCAACATCATTGCTTGAACACCAACTAGTGCCTCTTTCTTAATATGCATTATCTCTAATCCTCATAATAACCCTGTAAGGTGAATATTATTGTTCACATTTTCCATACGAAGAAACAGAGGCTCAAATGGGTTATTGGTTTCGTCCAAGGCTATACAGCTAGTACACTGATGGAGCAGGACTGGGCCTGGCATCAAAAGATTTTGCTCATTCTACTAGACCACACATCTTCAATAATCCTGCCAAAGCCAGTCTAAATACTCTTTAGCAAACACTGCATCATTCTGAAATTATGCTCCAGGGTTACACTGGGTACATAATAAAATGAAGCATTGCTATTTAAATTTAGAGGGCACTGAAGGATATAAGGAGTCCTGGTGGTGCAGTGGTTAAGTGTTTGGCTGCTAACCAAAAGGTCAGTAGATCAAATCCACCAGCCACTCCTTGGAAACCCCATGGGGCAGTTCTACTCTGTCCTATAGGGCTGCTATGAGTTGGAATAGACTCAATGTCAACAAGTTTGGTTTTCTTTTCTTTTTTGAAGAGTATAAATTAAGTACTTGTTCCAGGTGACAGCCATGGTAATGATGCATAGAATTATGGCTCAAAACGGAGTATTGTTGATTGTTTCTTTGACTGTCTATTAGTCTTCTTGTGCTGAGGTTAAAGATTTTCTTCAGAAATAAATTTGTTAGCCATTCATTGAAAAACACTTATACCCAAGATGTTAAAATGAAGAATGAATTATGTTAGTCAGATTTCCTTGAGACAGATATTACATTTGGGACATCTTGGAACTGGAGGCCCTTAAACCTTTCCATTCAACTGGCATTTAACCCCTAACAAGGTTTACAGTCTAAGAATAGAAGGTGAGCATTCCCTGCACAATTTTACAGACCATCTCCAGGATACTCTTTGTAAGCAGAGAGAGCAGACAATTGCCAGGGGTCAAAAATCATAACACTGATTCTTTATCTTCAGTTCAGGCATGGAGACGACATACCTGAAACTAAGAGTACCCTCTTAGGTCAAAAGTGTGGCTCTTGCTTCCAAACTAAGGATATTACTTAGGACCATAGACTAAAGTTGAGAAGGAAAAGGGCTGATTTTTTTTCTTGTGGCCAAGAATTTTAACATGGATTTGGGATAAGAAGAAGGTCAAAAGGAAGGATAGTCAAATAGGAGAATTGTCCACTGGCAATTGTTTGAAGCATCTCACAAATCTTAGTTGCAAATATGGTACTGTCTGTATTGTCATAGGCATGTATGTGTGTATATACATATACATCCAGAGGTTCCTACTTGATATTTTCAGTGTAAAAGAATTTATTATATCTCTAAAAATCATCTCTCTGAGCTAATATGGAATTGTGGGAACAGAAACTTACTTGTTCCTTGGGAAATCCAAGACAGGGACCTTTCTGAGAGTGATCTGAAGCGAGGTTTGATTAGATCTTCCACAGTGACTGCTGCCAAGGCATTAATACTGGAGGACACAGTGCTGTAAGGGAAAACAAAGCTTTTGATTTATAACATTTTAACTTTAAGAACACTTAAGAGGGATATTACCATGAGACCAGAAGAAATGGATGGTGCCCAGTTACCATTACTGAACATTTTGATCAAGGACCCAATAGATGAACCCTGATCAAAAGGGGGAAAAGTGTGGAAGAGAACTTCAAACCCATATGGAAACCAGACTTACTGGATGCATTGAGACTAGAGGAAGCCCTGGACCTAATGCCTGGAAATAATCTCTAAATCTTGAACCAAAACTATCATGTGAAGCCATCATTAAACTAAACACCAGTTAAGCCCAATTATTAAATAATGTTTGCATCTAGCATAGCGTACTGCTCTTATAAAAAATTATCTGTATGAGTGTAAACTGGCAACAGTTAATCTAAAGCACAGATGAGAACTTCAAGGAGCAGAGAGCCTAAGTTAACGGTGATGAAACAATATGGGTAGAGATAGAATGGTGACACAATGTGAAATATGTAGCTTATGTTATTGAATTGTTCATGTAGAAATTGTGAATGGATGTATGCGTGGTTGTGTATACTGCCACAAAATATAAATAAAACATTTTTTAAAAAAGAACACTTAAAAGGGAATGAGAAGGGGGAAAAACAAATTGTCACCATCAAGATATAAACAGATTTCTGTTACATTATTATTAATGATCACAGCATCCTGTTTCTGGAAGTTGATATCTTCTCAAGCTACCCTTTGAAATCTTCTGTTCAGCTCTTCAACTTTATCACTTCTTCTTTACCCTTTAGCTAGTTGACAGTCAAGAGCAAGTTTCAGAGTCTCTTCTGACATCCATTTTGGTCTTTTCTTTCTTTCCTATTTTTTAATGACCTCTTGCTTTCTTCATATATGATGTCCTTGATGTCATTCCACAACTCATCTGGTCTTTGTTCATTAGTGTTCAAGGCATCAAATCTATTCTTGAGATGTTCTCTAAATTCAGGTGGAATATACTCAAGGTCGTACTTTGGCTCTCTTGAACTTGATCTAATTTTCTTCAGTTTCAACTTGAACTTGAATATGAGCAATTGATGGTCTGCTCCGAAGTCGGCCCCTGGCCTTGTTCTGACTGATGATATTGAGCTTCTCCATTGGCTCAAGAAGACAAAGTAAAGTATTATAATGACAGGTGCTAAGACCTGGAGGTAGAAAACCAAAAGGGAAGAACACCCTTGGCATTTCTCAAGCTGAAAGAACTGAAGAAAAGATTCAAGCCTCAAGCTGCAATATTGAAGGATTCTACGGGAAAATATTAAACAACGCAGGAAGCATCAAAAGAAGATGGTAGGAATACCGAGTCACTATACCAAAAAGAATTGGTCAACATTCAGCCATTTCAGGAGGTAGATGTGATCAGGAGCCGATGGTACTGAAGAAAGACATCCAAGCTGCACTGAAGGCATTGGCAAAAACAAGGCTCCGGGTTTTGACGGAATACCAATTGAGAAGTTTCAACAAACAGATGCATCTATGCCAAGAAATTTGGAAGACAGCTACCTGGCCAACCAACTACAAGAGATCCGTGTTTATGCCTATTCCCAAGAAAGGTGGTACAACTGAATGCAGAAATTATCCAACAGTATCATTAATATCAAACGCAAGTAAAATTTTGCTGAAGATCATTCAAAAGCAGCTGCAGAGATATATCAACAGGGAACTGCCAAAAATTCAGGCTGGATTCAGAAGAGGACATGGAACCAGGGATATTATTGCTGATGTCAGACAGATCCTAGCTGAAAGCAGAAAATATCAGAAAGATGTTTACCTGTGTTTTACTGACTATGCAAAGGCATTTGACTGTGTGGATCATAACAATTTATGGATAACATTGAGAAGAATGGGAATTCCAGAACACTTAATTGTGCTCATGCAGAATGTGTACATAGATCAAGAGGCAATTGCTTGAACAGAGCAAGGGGATACCGTGTGGTTTAAAGTCAGGAAAGGTGTGTGTCAGGGTTGCATCCTTTCACCATACCTATTCAATCTGTAATCAGAGAAGCTGGACTATATGGAGAAGAACAGGGCACCAGGACTGGAGGAAGACTCATTAACAACCTGCATTATGCAAATGACACAACCTTGCTTGCTGAAACTGAAGAGGACTTGAAGCACTTACTGATGAAGATCAAAGACCACAGCCTTCAGTATGGATTACACCTCAACATAAAGAAAACAAAAATCCTCACAACCGGACCAATAAGCAACATCATGATAAATGGAGAAAAGATTGAAGTTGTCAAGGATTTCATTTTACTTGACTCCACAATCAACACCCATGGAAGCAGCAGTCAAGAAATCAAAAAACAAATTCCACTGGGCAAATCTGCTGCAAAAGACCTCTTTAAAGTGGTTGAAAGCAAAGATGTCACTTTGAGGACTAAGGTGTGCCTGACCCAAGCCATGGTGTTTTCAATTGCCTCGTATGCATGTGAAATCTGGACGATGAATAAGGAAAATTGAAGTAGAACTGACGCCTTTGAATTGTGGTGTTGGTGAAGAATATTCAATATACCATGGACTGCCGACAGAATGAACATATCTGTCTTGTAAGACATACTTTGGACGTGTTATCAGGAGGGATCAGTCCCTGGAGAAGGACGTCATGCTTGATAAAGTAGAGGGCCAGTGAAAAAGAGGAAGACCCTCAACAAAATGAATTGACACAGTGGCTGCAACAATGGGCTCAACCATACCAGTGATTGTGAGGAAGGCACAGGACCAGATAGTGTTTCATTCTGTTGTACAGAGGGTGTTTATGAGTTGGAACTGACTTGATGGCACCTAACAACAACAACAACAAGAATGATTCAGGCAACATCTAGTTGGTAAAAGATAAAAAGTTTAAATGTTGCTTCCATTTTACAGTTAATCCTCCGTGTCATCTATGGAAAGAATCTGCCTAGATTACTCAGTATGATTACATAGTAACTTTAGAACATATTTTTCTTTATGCATAGAAAGGACTACTCTAAGTCCTAAATAAAATATGCCATAAATGTCAATGATGTTAATTTCCGGGGCCTCACTAACACATCCTATAAATACTGATAATAATAATTATCTGGAGCAAACACAGGAAGAAATGTATAAGTGCAATGAATAAGTCTAATCACAAAACACAAGATTCTTTGGACAGTGTAATTATTCAGTACCTAAATAGAGCTAGTTCTAATTTTCCAGTTGACTATGCTTTAGTCACATGTACATTTTAAACAAAAATTTTAGGCACCCATTTTTGATAATCAGTGAAAGCTATTATCAGCTGCTCGTCATTATTGTGACCCTATAGGAAATATGGTAGTGTGTTAGATAGCAGTTGTTGTAGTTGTTAGGTGCCACTGAGTTGGTTCTAACTCATAGCTACCCCATGTACAACAGAATGAAATGCTGCCTGGTCTTACCATCCTCACAATCATTGTTATGCTTGAGCACGTTGTTGCAGCCACTGTGTCAATCCATCTCATTGAGGGTCTTCCTTTTTTTCGCTGACCCTCAACTTTACCAAGCATGATGTCCTTCTCCACAGACTGATCACTCCTGACTACATGTCCAAAGTATGTAAGACGTAGTCTCACCATCCTTCCTTCTAAGGAGCATCCTGGTTGTACTTCTTCCAAGACAGATTTGTTCGTTCTTTTGGCTGTCCATGGTATATTGAATATTCTTCGCCAACACCACAATTCAAAGGCTTCAATTCTTCTTTGGTCTTCATTATTCACTGTCTAGCTTTTGCATGCATATGATGCAATTGAAAATATCATGGCTTGGGTCAGGCATATCTTAGTCTTCAAGGTGACATCTTTGCTTTTCAACACTTTAAAGAGGTCTTTTGCAGCAGATTTGCCCAATGTAATATGCTGTTTGATTTCTTGACTGCTGCTTCCATGGGTGTTGATTGTGGAGTCAAGTAAAATGAAATCCTTAACAACTTCAATCTTTTCTCCATTTATCATGATGTTGCTTATTGCTCCGGTTGTGAGGATTTTTGTTTTCTTTATGTTGAGGTGTAATCCATACTGAAGGCTGTGGTCTTTGATCTTCATCAGTAAGTTCTTCAAGTCCTCATTAGTTTCAGCAAGCAAGGTTGTGTCATCTGCATAACACAGGTTGTTAATGAGTCTTTCTCCAGTCCTGATGCCACATGCTTCTTCATATAGTCCAGCTTCTCTAATTATTTGCTCAGCATACAGATTGTATAAGTATAGTGAAAGGATACAACCCTGACACATACCTATCTTGATTTTAAATCATGCAATACCCTCTTGTTCTATTCGAACAACTGCCTCTTGATCTATGTACAGGTTCTGCATGAGCATAATTAAATGTTCTGGAATTCCCATTCTTCTCAATGTTATCCATAATTTGTTATGATTCACACAGTCGAATGCCTTTGCCTAGCCAATAAAACACAGGTAAACATCTTTCTGGTATTCTTTGCTTTCCACCAAGATCCATCTGACATTGGCAATAATATCCTTCATTCCACGTCCTCTTCTGAATCAGGCTTGAATTTCTGGCAGTTCCTTGTCGATGTACTGCTGCAACTGTTTTTAAATTACTTACAGGAAAATTTTACTTGTTTGTGATATTAATGATACTGTTCGATAATTTCTGCATTATGTTGGGTCACCTTTCTTTGGAATGGGCACAAATATGTATCTCTTCCTGTTGGTTGGCCAGGTAGCTGTCTTCCAGACTTCTTGGCATAAATGAGTGAGTGCTTCCAGTGCTGCATGCGTTTGTTGAAACATCTCAGTTGGTATTCTATCAATTCCTGGAGACTTGTTTTTTGCCAATGCCTCCAATGCAGCTTGGATTTCTTCCTTCAGTACCATCGGTTCTTGATCATTTGCTACCTTCTAAAATGGTTGAATGTCAACCAATCATTTTTGGTAGAGTTACTGTGTATTCCTTCCATCTTCTTTTGATGCTTCCTTCATCATTCAATATTTTGCCCACAGAATCTTTCAAAACTGCAACTCGAGGCTTGAATTTTTCTTCAGTTCTTTCAACTTGAGAAATGCTGCGCGTATTCTTCCCTTTTGGCTTTTTAACTCCAGGCTTTTGCACATTTCATTATAATACTTTTGTTTATCTTCTCAAGTTGCCCATTGAAATCTTCTGTTCAGCTGTTTTACGTCATCATTTTTTCCATTTGCTTTAGCTACTCTATGTTTAACAGGAAGTTTCAGAGTCTCTTCTGACATGCATTTTGGTCTTTGCTTTCTTACCTGTCTTTTAAATGATCTTTTGCTTTCTTTACATATGATGTACTTAATGTCATCCCACAAGTTGTCTGGTCTTCAGTCATTAGTGTTCAATGCATCAAATCTATTCTTGGAGATGGTCTACAAATTCTGGTGAGATATACTCAAGGTCATATTTTGGTTCTTGAGGACTTGTTTTAATTTTCTTCAGCTTCAGCTTGAACTTGTATATGAGCAATTGATGGTTTGTTCTGTACTCGGCCCCTGGCCTTGTTCTGACTGATGATATGAGGTTTTCCATCGTCTCTTTTCACAGATGTAGTCAATTTGATTCCTGTGTATTCCATCTGACAAGATCCAAGTGTACAGTCACCATTTATGTTGTTGAAAAAAAGTATTTGCAATGAAGAAGTCATTGGTCTTACAAAATTCTGTCATGTATTCTCCTGCATTGTTTCTATCACCAAGGCCATATTTTCCAACTACTGTTCATTCTTCTTCGTTTCCAACTCTTCGCATTGCATTCCAATCACCAGTAATTATCAATACATCCTGATTGAATGTTTGATCAATCTCAGACTGCATAAGCTGGTAAAAATCTTCAATTTCCTCATCTTTGGCATTAGTCGTTGGTGCGTAAATTTGAATAATCGTCGGATTACATGGTCTTCCTTGTAGGCGTATGGATATTATCCTATCACTGACAGTGTTGTGCTTCAGGATAGATCTCAAAATGTTCTTTTTGACAATGAATGTGACATCGTTTCTCTATGTCATTCCTGGCATAGTAGACCATATGATTGTCTGATTCAAAATGGCCAATACCAGTCCATTTCTGGTCACTAATGCCTAGGATACTGATCTTTATAATGTTCCATTTCATTTTTGCCAACTTCTAATTTTCCTATATTCATACTTCGTACATTCCATGTTTCAATTATTAACGGATGTTTGCAGTTGTTTCTTCTCATTTGGAGTCTCATTTAGATAGCAGAGGGCTAGTTAGAAATGAAGTCTGAATACAACATAATCCTAGTCTAGATATAAGAGATCAACAGGGACTATATGGGGTGGTTGCCTACTTTGGGCCATTTTTGCCCATCTCCAGATTTCAGTCTTATCTCAGAAAGTATCTGTTATGGATTGAATTGTGTCCCTCAAAAATATGTGTTGTAAATCCTAAACCCCTATACCTGTGGCTGTAATCCCATTTGAGAATAGGACTTTCTTTGTTGTGTTAATGAGACCATATCAGTATGGTATGTCTTAAACCAATCACCTTTGAGATATAAACCAAGCCTATCAGGCACAGAGAAGGAAGCACAAACAGAGGGGAAGATACATGCCACATGAAGAATGCCAGGGAATCGAGGAACAGAAGTTAAAAAGAGACAAGGACCTTCCCTGAGACCTGACAGAAGAAGAAAGCCTTCTCCTACAGCTGGCACCCTGAATTCAGACCTCTAGCCTCCTAAACTGTGAGAAAATTAATTTCTGTTCATTAAAACCACCCACTTGAGGCATTTCTGTTATAGCAGCACTAAGAAAGTAAGGCAGTATTCAATAAAAAAAGAAAGATCCCAATAGCAAAACCATTAAAGTCATAGTTCATACCTTAGCGTTCCACTGTAAACACAGGCCACAAAGAGTCCAGGAAGTCCTGGATAATCTTGCAGAATGTCCAGTACCATATAAGGCATGAGCTGAAAAATTCCAAAATTTACTTCCAAATACTATTTGCTATTGAATACAATTAATTAATGCCTTTATCTCATATCCTTCAAGAACTTAAGGGCGCTTTCCACATAACTGAAATTTCCAAATACCTAAAATTCAACTCTTTAACTGGTAACAAAGAAACAAATAGCACAGTGGTTAAGGGTATAAGCTTTGGATTCAGAAAGATTCTGCTACTTATTTTTTCTCAGCCTCCGTTTCTCATCTGCAAAATAGGCATAATGATACCAATAATACGATAGAATTGCTATAAAAGTTAAGTTAGATCATGTATATAATGCTCTTAGTATATTATATGGGATATAGTAAATGCACAATAAAAGGTAGGTGTTACCGTTCTTTTGAATAATAAAATCATTTTTTAAGGATTTAAGAATATCACATCTCCCCGTATAAGGTCAAGGTCCAAATTTCCCAGGATGTCTTAAAAGTTCAAGCAGTATTAAAACGTTAAGCAGAATTACACACCTAAGCAAGAAAGTTGCCATCGTTAGTATTATAATGACATCCAAAATCATCTACCAGGTCATTGACTTTCTTAAAAGTCTTCAGTGTAATATTTCATACTGTGAATGGCCCCCGCAGGTATAGGCAGAATCAATGAGGTAAGGCCAACTGGGAGGGAAATAGTAAAACTCTAGCTAGACACTAACCCTGCTTCCTCCGGGTGAGCTCCAGCAGAGTGTAGCAGAAATGCATCTTTGCTCTCCTCAGGATAGTTTAGGGCTCTGACCTTATCTCCCACTGACTGTCTTATTTGCATTTGTGTTCCCAGTGAAAGGTTAATGGATGTAATTCGTTAACTAACAACGCAAGACTGGAACCATCCAGTTAGGAGGAAAGTCTCATTGGAAAATTTAGCACATATTCTCTAAGTGATCGCTATGAGTCAGAATCAACAGTAACAGGTTTGGTTTGTTCCTCTAAGTGATAGAGACATGTAGGCTATACACCCTGAGTGCACGCTATGACAAGGATTCACAAGGAGGGGACACCATAGGGATTTTTCTGCCCAGAGTAGGGGGAAGTTATACTAGAAGCTGTTATGGATTGAATTGTGTCCTCCAAAAATGTGTGTCAAGTAGGCTAGGCCATGATTCCCAGTATTGTGTGATCGTCTACCATTTTGTCATCATCAACAATACGGCATAGAGTTTTGGAATGAGGACTCTGATGACAGCCTGCCTGGGTTTGAATCCTGGTTCCAGACTTGTAGCTGGCTACTGGTTACCCCACTTACTTAACCTCTTTGTGCCTCTGTTTCCTCACCTCTCAAAAGGGGGTAGTCATAGTACCTACCTCAGAGGGTAGCTGTGAGGATTAAAATTTGAAATTTATATAATGCACTTATAATACTGCCTGGTACATAGTATTTATTGAGCGTTAGCAGTTACTCATGTTTATTTGCTATGTGACCTCGGGCAAGTTATAGAACCTTCCTGAGACTCATTTCCTCATCTATAAAGTGAGAATTACAGGGTTATGAGATAAAGCATGCAAAGTCTTGGCACAGTATCACACAGTTGGTGCTCAATAAATGTTCACTTATTAGATCCGTTTCTCCATCATTTTAAAACTGTTGGGAAGATAAACCGTTTATAAAGAAGCAATCAAACAATGGCTGTAAAATGTTCTGTAGTATCCTGGTTTGTCTGCAGTTTGTTGTTCTTTTAACTGTGTTTACACTTATGCCCAGCCTTGAGATATTTCTACTTAAGAACACCTGGCTTGAAATTTTTCTAGGTATTTGAATATTTTTTTAACACAGAATTCTTCATTCTTGCTATCCCAAGCCCATTGCCATCAAGTCGACTGACTCATGGTGACCCCATGTGTTAAGGAGTAGAACTGCTCCATAGAGTTTTCTTGGCTGTGATCTTTACGAAAGCAGATTGCCAGGACTTTCTTCTGCAGTGCCGCTGAGTGGGTTCAAACCACTGGCCTTTAGGTTAGTAGGAGCCCTGGTGGTACAGCGGTTAAGAGCTACAGCTGCTAACCAAAAGGTCGGTAGTTTGAATCCACCAGCCTTTCTGTGGAAACGCTACGGGGTAGCTCTACTCTGTCCTATAGGGTTGCTGTGAGTTGGAATCGACTTGATGGCAACTGGTTTTAGGTTAGTAGTTGAGCACAAACCATTTGCACCACCCAGGGACCTCTCCATTCTTGCTAATGTCTGCTAAAATAAAATTTTGTCAAATGCTTTCTAGAAATTAAAGATGATTATATTGTGTCATTTCCTGTTTTCCCTCTCCTCCCACCTAATAATGAGATGACTTCTTCTTGAATGTCCTGAATGCACTATAAGAAAGAGGTAGTACTGAACCTGGTCTGGTGCAGACACTTTCTTGGCTGTCCAAGGATCACAGTCATGGTACCTGGAATATAGGGCAAGCCCACAAAACACTGCGCAGATCAGGATTACCCAGAGCCCCACCAGATTGATGTACAGAGACCTACAGAGGTAAAAACAAATAAGCAAATGGTAGCTGTAATCTCTGTTTCAAAGATGAGGAAAATTATTACACGAATGGAAAAGACCTTCACAATTATACTTCTATATACATTAAATAAACGCACGTTATCTTTTGGTCATCAAAACACCATTTATTCTAGTCTAATCTCCTGCTAACGATGTCAGTCAACAATGTATTCGGAAATATTTGGAATAGATGGCGTTTTCCCACTGAATGAGTGGATACTTCTGGTCAGAGTTCCGAGGGTATTGTTAGCTTCACAACTGTGCCTGATTAGAATACTCCAGGTCTTCTTGTCATGAAGTAAGGCATTTAGTAGTCAACAGAGCAGTAACATTAGTCCTTTGCCTTTTAAAAGTAATACAATGATAAACCGCTAGAAGCTGTTAGAATCTACATAACAACTTAATAAACTTGTTGTAAATATGGTTTATAAGACCACCCATTAAATATGAAAAGGAAACATGTATTCCTTAGACAGGAATCTTTCCTATGTTCAGTGTTACCATATACAGTGTGTGATCCAGGATAGTATAAAACTTAAATAACGACATTGGAATCAGAACGAGCATAAATCCTGGCTTTACCACATGTAACCTTAGGCAAGTAATTTAGTCTCTCCACTCCTCAGTTTCTTTGTTTACACCTGGAGATAACAATGCTTACCTCACAGAGTTACAAGATTAAATGAAGTAGTATAGATCCTATAGCACAGCGCTTTGTGTGTAACGTTGTTCTCAGCTGCCATCGAGTCAGCCCCCAACTCATGGCGACTCCATGCACAATGGAACAAAATGCCGCCTGGTCCTGCACTTTCCCCTGATTAGTTGCAGATTGGATTGTTGTGATCCATAGGGTTTTCACTGGCATGTAATAGGCATGTTTTCAGGTAGTTATTGATGTTTTTGGTGTTAATATTGAATGCTAGGTCTTAATATTGAACAGTGAACATTTCTCTCATTTAGGGGGCTACACTTTTTTTTTTTCCGGCAGTGATGTAGGGGATACTGTGATGAACCATTCTATGCTGAAGAGAGGCACCACCACCAAGGTCATGCCTCCCCTCCCCCATAACTGGTGGAAGCAAAAGTATAAAGCCTTCTGACCCCAACTTGGGACAAGTCAAAAGAATTGTCTCAGCTTCAGAGCTCCCCAAAGGGGTCAGCTGAGGCCTTTGTTGCAACTGAATTGCAGTCCAGCTCCTCCCTCTACTCAATCTTGCTTCCTTCCCTTCCCTTCCATAGGTGTTGATTTCCTAATAAACTCTTGCACTAGCCTCCATCTTAACGCCTACTTCCTGGAGAACCCTCCTGCAACAGGTGCCACAGTTACTTATACAAGCAGATGCACAATACGTGTTTATTTATTTGGTAAGTTTTTTTTAACTTAATAATTCTTATAAATACATTTTAAATGTCTGATCCAAAATGTCTGCTTGAACCTTATGTAATTAAGCATATCACTTATCTCTTTGAATTTCATGATGCAAAAGACTTAAACTTGAGCTAAACTTGAGTTATGAAAGTGTTTACATAAAGGTAACTAATGGTTATTAATGATTCACACACCATAATTTGGCTTACATTTTTGCCTGGAATCTGCTTTTACAGGAAATATATCTCTGCACTTGGGATTGGTTGACACCATAGATGCCGGTCCATGTGAAGGTCCCTCCTATAATAATTGTCCAGAATGTGTGTCTTTGCAAAGGGTTAGGATCAAAACTAAATGAAAAGAAACAGACAAAAAAAATCAGAACTGTCAGCAAAAAACTATAGAAAACCCTCCAAGAAATTTTTATAAGCAAGCAATGTATACATACATACATTTGGATATATACATACATATATACATATTTATTAATTAATATAAAAGGTGTAAATATTTCTAAAATAAGTTCAATGAAATAAAAATTGATCCTTTCAAATATCTGGGAATTCTATATGAGACTGGGGGACAATGAATGTTCTAATTACTCTGAGTGCCTATATAAATCCTTTTCCCACGACCTTAGGAAATTGTTTAAACAAGTCTGCCATGCCAAAATACAGAGAAGAGAGTAAGACTAAAAAAAAAAAGACAGAGACAGGCAGACACAGAGTACCAGGCTCCGAAGCATACCACAGCGATAGGTATGGTATTGAAATGAACACAAAATTGATGCATTTTGTGTATATAATTCCACTACAGAGAAGATATTTTGTCCCCTAAATTCTCAAAACATATCAGAACAACAAGGGATACTCTTGAAAAATTTCAAACACAGTAAGGCTTTTCATTATTACTTCATGGTTGGTAATCTTCAAAGGAAGGATCATAAAAATGTCTAATCTTTTACTTTTTAGAATATCTTATTGATATACAAGCTACTAAGTCAGTGCTACAATATATGCTATCCTTTGTAGAAAGTGACGATCATCTTGCAGACAAACGATTGACTCCATACCCTGTGTCCTCCACCCAGCCTACTGGGAGAGGATTCAGGAGTAATCAAGGCTCCCTGAGTGACCATCAGTTGTTTCTGCCTCCTGGCATCCATTTCCCCTTCTTCCGGTAACACTGACCCAAGGATTGCTTTGAGGAAACTATCATTTCTCCATTAAATGGTCTGAAGTTCTGTCAATCAAATTGTGCTTCTCTGTCCTAGCCAAGGGATGGAAAACATGGCTCAAGCTGGCCAACTGGTTTGTTCTTTTCCTTGCAATCTGAATCTTGAGGTAAAAGGAAAGAAAAAATGATCTAGAAAAATAGCTGACGTTGATTCATTGCAAAGCATTACTGCAAATGAATACACTGCCCCTGTCCAATTTCAGAAAAAGCTCCTCTCAAACTTTGATGCCTATTTACAAAAGACTAGATGAGAGCCACCAAATGCAAACTGGTTTTCCTTTCTTCTTGCCAAAGTGAGGCTGCTGAAAGAGAAAATGATCTGGTCCAGATCAAAATGAGCCCTTCTCCACACTGAACGTGAGGCACAAGGATGACACTATTGATCCAAAAGGGAAGATGATTTAAATGATTTTCAAATTTTGGTGGTATATTTGGGGTGAAATGTCTAGTTTGTCCGTTGGTTTTTCTTTAGGAAAACTGAATAGCTGTTTAAGATATTTTCTCTCACTGTTACATCAGTGACTATACATCTTGAGACATCAACCGTAACTTTTCAAGTCAATTCTCTGGAAGAAATATACATTATACCAAAACCATTGCCTTCTAGTTGATTCCTACTCATAGCGACTCTCTAGGACAGAGTAGAACTGCCCCATAGGGTTTCAAAGGCTATAATCTTTACAGAAGCTGACTGCCACATCTTTCTCATGTAGAGCGGCTAGTGGGTTCAAACTGCAGACTTTTCGGTTAGCAAGCTGAGCATTTAACCACTGCACCACCAGGACTCCTTTATTTTAATATATGTTCATCTAATTATAATGTATAATGATAATAAAATCTATACTGCCAGGGCATTCTCTTAAATGGGATGCTTGAAACAAACAGTCATCAATGCAACCACTAGGTCTTTTAGTGGTTTTCTCTTATAGAGGCTTCCTTTTTTTTTTTTTAATCTCTTATTGTCTCTTCCCTTATCACGCCATTCCACCCTTCAACCAATTCCAGACTTTAATGTCTGAACGAAATACTCTTTTGCTACAAGTCCTTTCCCAGGATGAATCATCATCTTTATTACCTTGCAACATCTGACCATTTTAACCCCTTAAAGAACTGGCTTCAATTTTCTATACCAAATCCTTACCGGTGTGTCTGTTTAATGCAAACTTACCATTTCAACAAAGAAGTTGTTTTCACAGACAAACCAAGAGGCGTGTTCTATTAACCAAGAGGTAGATAACTTACTTCCAGAAGTTTAATCTTCCACCATTGTAGGCATCACTTAGAATAGTGCTTATTCCACCTTGAACAACGGAAGCCCGTATCAGCACAGACGCAAATCCAGCCACCATGATCCCAACTTGAAAAACATCCGTCCAGACGACTGCTTTAAGGCCACCCTTTGAGGGGAAAGGGTATTAGGATGAAGGCTTCTATCAAATATCATTGAGCATCTACATGTTAGTCACTGTGCTGGATAAAAATGATGAAAGCATGGCTTTTGGCTGAGAAGTGCACCCAAGGGAGATGATCAAGTCAGGAGAACCTCCACAGAGAAGGTAATATTTAAGCTAAGCCTTCAAACGTAAGTAGAGGCAAAGAGGGAAGGTTCTCCCAGAAGAGGAAACAGCATAGACAAAAGCATAGAAGGGCCAAAGTACATGGTGTGATGAGTGTGGCCAGATATGTAATGTGGAGTGGAGTGGTGTGGGGAGATGGCTGGGAAGAAATTTCAAAGTCAAATTTTGTAAGACAATATCATGGATTTTATCCTATAGGCAAGGCTGATATTCGACTAACGTGCACCAAAATGCTCATACCAGTTGTTGAAACACTAGAATTGTCTCATACTAGCCACTACCCCAAACTCTCCCAAGTATCCCCCTTCAACCTCTATGACCTGAGTTGAGCCAGCCCCTTCCTGAGGACCCCATCTTCTATAGGATCCAGCAACTAAAAGGTTAAGTCCTAGAATATGAGAGATCTCATAAAACCTGCACCAATGCTAAGAACAAGTACCCATGAAAATAGTACCCATGCAATACAGGTTACATATTTTGACTTTCGCTCCTGCCTATAGGCAATGGGAACTTACTATAGGTCTCTAAGTTGAGGAATACTATGAGCACAGCTATAGTAACTTGGCAAGAGCATAGATGAATTAGGAGGAGACCAGATTAGGTGCCATTGCAATGGTTTAGGTGATTGAAAAAAAAATCTGTTTTGATCAGTGTTCTACTGAGGACCAGTTTTACCCCAGACCAAATATTCCTTACAAAAAAGTTATAGCGTGGGAGGTCAGGAGTAAGAGAATATGTATGAACAAACCAGTTTGCAGCATCCAGCTATGGGAATTTTTAATTTTGCAAAGCAAGTGAGTAGAGAGAAAGGGGAAATAACGTTCTTGACATACCATTGTGCAGTAGAATGTGCAGACCGCGCCTGTAGCCACTACTGCACCCCATAGATCAAACCCAGTGACTGTAGAAGAAAAGAGAATGCGTGTACAATTGTGAAACATGCATAATAAAAGCACTTTGCAAAAATTTATCAAGGGCAAAACTAGATCATTAATTTGACACCTACCTCTATATCCACTTGCTTAAAACTAGGTCCTTACAAAATGCCACAAAACAAATGGAGTTTAAAATTATATTTGATAAGTTAAATAGACATGGTTTCTACACTCAAATACCATACACAGATCCAACACTGGCTGGATTGAATACATGAAAAAGCACTTGTATTATAATTAAGCTAAGAAACAGCTTGATATTGTAAGGTGGTTGTCCAGACCAGATGAGGTGAATGGCATTTATCATCTCTCCCAATTAGACATGGTTCAAATACACATACTATTCTACCAATCCTTGAAATATCAGTTGTGCATGTTATAAGATGGGACCTTGATGGAGAAAAGTCTGTACAGTTTGCTACCATTTATCTAAGAAGTAGAAGGGGGTACTATATTTTTTTAAATGGAAGAATAAACCAAAAACAAACGGAAAAAAATAGTAACCTATAGGGGAGGGACTAGGGGAGAGTGATATAAATTAGACTTCTCTAAACGTATCTCATTTTGTAGATTTGACTTTGGAACCTGTAAATGTTCTGTATAATTATAATAAATTAAATTTTTTTTAAACTCCTAAAAAGCAAAATGAAATAAATGAACCTAACTGTATATTCAAGTTTGTGACATAACCACACAGAGAGAAATTATTTCAAAAAACTTTAAAACATAATTTAACATACATCCATAGTGGGATACACCTTAAGGAAAAAAAACTGCAAAGGAAAAAGTTTTAACTGTTTTGGGCTATCACATAACAATGTTATAATAATATTGAAATTGTTATTCCGAAACAATTACACCAGCGGTTCTTGACTTTGACTGCACATTAAAATTACCAGGAGGTTTTTAAAATCTTGATGACCCTAACACACAACAGGCCAATTAAATCAGAATCACAGGAGGTAAGATCCAGTGTTCACTATTTTTTAAAGCTCCCTAAGTGAGCCCACTGTGCAGCCAAGGTTGAAAAATCAGTGACATACATATATATATATACATACATACATATAAATGTATACATATACTTACATAAAGCAAATAGGTTAGTTTATTAATATTTTTTAAAAATATATATATTTGGCATAAAACAAAAGAGACAAATATAAAAACAAATTTAAAAAAAAAAAAAGAGTTGCCATCGAGTCAATCCCACCTCGTGCCAACGCCACGCTCCATAGGGCTGATTTTTCAGAAGTAAATCGCCAGGCCTGACTTCCAAGGCATTTCTGGGTGGACTCGAACTGCCAACCTCTGAGCAAGTGCATCAACAATTTGCACCACCCAGGGACTACAATAAAACCAAATAACTTAGGCACATACCCTATAATCCAAAATTTGAATTAGAAATAATATGAATGCTTAATTTACATGTGTGTATGTGTGTGTGTATCTCCCAGTTTTGTGCACTGTACTAGCCATACTAGAAAGCAAAGCAGCTATTAAACTCTACTGGAGTCATCTCAAAAGGTCTCAGGACACAACTTGAGGAAGCTCCTGCTAGACAAAAACAGGACAGTTTGAGCATCAAAAATAATTAGTGTAATGATATGAAATAAAATCAAATATGTTTAAATCCATTATTTCATAAAGATTAAAAAAACTCAGTTATCTTTGAAAGACAGTAGGCAATCAATCTATTATTTTAAAAATTGTTAAAGGGAAAGAAACAGACACTTATCTTGTCTTTCCTATACAAACTACATTTCAGGCAACTGCTGGTATAGTGGTTAAGAGCTATGACTGCTGACCAAGGTCAGCAGTTCAAATTCGCCAGCTGCTCCTTGGAAACCCTATGGGGCAGTTCTACTCTGTCCTACAGGGTTGCTGAGTTGGAATCGACTGAATGGCAACAGGTTTGGTTTTTTTTTTTTTTAAATACTTAGTAAGAGGAAATTTCTTTTTATAGAAGTATACCATCTAATTAATGAAGAGGGAATCACAGAATTACAATACTTATAAAATCTAGCTTACAGATGTAAATGATCACCAATGGCTGCTAATAATTAGAAAAAAAAATAAGAAAGCTGACATTCTGTGCTTCCCAAAGAAATATACAACACTGCCTAGGAAGTATTCTTTCTAAAATGTTGAACGAGGATATGAAGAAGTTTCTAGATCTAACTATCCATTTACAAGAAATAGAGAGGAATGTGGAACATTAAACGACTCCACAAGGATGCAATCAGCAAACCCAAGAATCTGGAAAATTTGACAGAACAGATGACCTACATTAACAGAATTAAGTAAAAATAATATATAATCATCTTACTAGTTGAAGAAAATATTCATAATTTATTTTTTAAAAGAAAAAAAAAATCTTGCAGCAAACTAGGAATAGAGGGGAACGTCCTCAATCTGATAAAGGGCATCTATGAAACACCTACAGCCAACATCAAAACTAGTGGTGAAACTTTGGATGCTTCTCTCCTAAGGTTAAGAACAAGGCAAGCATGTGTGCTATCACCAGTTCTATTCAACGTTATCCTGAAGATTCTAGCTAATGCAGTAAGAAAGAGAAGTAAAATGCGTAACACTGGAAAAGAAGAAGGAAAACTGTCACTATTCATGAGCGACATGAAAAACCTAAGAGATCTGACAAAACGCTACTCAAATTAGTGAATAAAATTAGCAAGTTCTCAAGATAGAAAGTCAGCATATAAAAATCAATTATATTTCTATATACTAGCAATAAATGATTAGAAAATATTATAAAGCAATAACATTTGCAATAGCATCAAAATACCGATTACCACTAACGGACCACAGCTCCTAAGGCCTCCACCAGACTGAGTCCAGTACAGCTAGTTGGTGCCCGGCTACCACCACTGACTGCTCTGACCAGGATCACAACAGAGGGTTCTGGACTGAGCTGGAGAAGGATGTAGAACAAAATTCTAACACACAAAATGACCAGATTTACTGGCCTGACAGAGACTGGAGAAACCCCGAGAGTATGGCCCCTGGACACCCTTTTAGCTCAGTAGTGAAGTCACTCCCGAGGTTCACTGTTCAGCCAGGGATTGGACAGCTGCAGAAAACAAAAGGGGACTAATGAGGCACAGCAGTCCAGAAACAAGGACTAGAAGGTAGAAGGGGACAGGAAAGCCAGTGATAGGGAACCCAAGGTTGAGTAAGGACAGTGTTGACATGTAGTGGGGTTGTTAACCGTTGTCATAGGGCAATATGTGTACTGTTTAATGAGAAACTATTTTGTTCTGTAAACTTCCATCTAAAGTGAGAATAGCACAACTGGAAGAACATAATCGATGTTACTGAATTGTACATGTAGAAATTTTTGAGATGGTGTATCTTTGGCTATGTGTATTTTCACCAAAAAAAGAAAAAGTTCTACCAAGGTCAAGAAGGGAGAGTGCTGACATGTCGTGGGGTTGTTAACCAATGTCATGAAACAATATGTGTACTGACTATTTAATGAGAAACTATTTGTTCTGTAAACCTTCACCTAAAGTACAATAAAAAAAAAAATTTTTTTAAATATTAATTACCTAGGAATAAATCTAAGAAATATGTACAAGACCTCAACATCAAAAATGATAAAACATTACTGACAGAAATTTCAAAAGGCCTAGGTAAATGGACTGGAAGAATATCTGCCTTTATAAAGTGTTTGTTCAAATCTTTTGCCCACTTTTTATTAGGTTATTTTTTTTATTATTAATTTTATTATTTCATGTGCCAATAAGCTCAATATCAATTAAAACTGCAATGAAATAACAGTTCACACTCACTAAAACAACTAAAATTGAAAAAGACTAATAAAAGTTGTTGATGATGACATGGAATAATCGGAACTCTTAGACATTGTGGAGTAGGCATGTCAAATCATACAACCACTGCAGAACACAATTTGGCAGTTTCTTTTAAATTTCTAACGTACACCCTCCCTGAGCTGGGTCATAGAGTAGATGTATGTTTAACTTTATACTACACCCTGTCCTCATTTATCGACATAGTTAGGTTTCAAAGACCAGGTCATTATGTGAAACTGGCATTATGCAAAAATGGAGGATAACCACATTAGATCATAAAATGCAGGATGAATGCATTGTTACATAACTGCCAAATTACAGCGTTACATGACTTCCAAATTACATCATTACATAACCACCAAACCCCTGAGAATCATGGCCCAGCCAAGCTGACAGATAACCTTAACCATCAAAGCCAGTTTCACCTTTGCTTCGCACCTCAGCATTCATTACTGCCAGATGTATAGTCAGATAGTAGATTTTTTACTAGTGTCATAAATGTGAAATGTTGGATAATGAGATGGTCATAAGTGAAAAGAAGGTGTACTTCTAGATATTCACCCAATATAAATGAAAACATATGTCAAAAAGCAGAGCAAAACAAAACTAAACCTGTACAAGAATGTTGTTAGCAGCCTTAATTCATACTAGCCTAAAACTGGAAACAACTCAAATGTCCATCAACAAAAGAATACTACTAACAATAAAAAGGAATGAACTATCGACACATGCAGGAACATGGATGAATCTCAGAAACGTTTTGTTGAGGAAAAGGATAGACACAAAAATGCACCTACTATATACTTCCACTTACATAAAATTTAAGAACAGAGAAAACTAATTAATAGTGATAAAAATCAGAAAATGGCTATTGGAGTGGTTGGGGCATTTATTAGAAAGAGGCACAAGAAAACTTTTTTGGATTGGATGATGGAAATAGTCTATATCTTGAGTTGGGTGAGGATTATGTGATTTTATACAATTTTCAGAACTCATCCAACTGCACACTTAAAGTTCTGTGCATTTTACGGTTTATAAATTATACCTCAATAATAAATGTTTTCTGTATTAAAAGGCAAGAAAGAGAAGATTAAGAGCCATACTAACTAATTGCAATATATGAATTTATTTGGATC